TATTGCAATCCTACCAGTTCCAAAGCTTGGAAGAAAGGTTTTTGTCCATTTTGTGTTGATTTGAAAATAAATACAAAGCGGTGGCAAACTTCTTGTTCCACTCCATACTGATCAATGCTAACAACTATAGTCGATCTGAGACATGCACTCCTCACTAATGTTACTGGTCTTTGAATTATCTCTGAGCTAAACGTATTTTTTTATTTATATGAATAGTATGCAGAGAATAATTTCGGAACTTATAGATTTTGCGATAAACCTCAAACAAACGGTAAACAAGAGAGGGACATTGCCGTCACTTTCTGAAGCTGTCCCCGAATGGAATGGAAGCACCTTGCTGTTCTCAAAGCAGAATGTTAGGTGGAGGATGCCATAAAGCAGGGGAGCGACCTTGCTATCAGTTTTCCGGGGACCCTCAGATCAATACTGCACGAACCCTCTGCCACAAGCACACCCCTTATGCTACACAAAATCTAATTATTGTCCAAATGTCTCCAGACCGCTTATCTACACTTTGCACGCCTACCCAAATCGATAACAAACATTCCTCCCTCCCCCCAGTGAGAGCGGTATGCAAAGCGAAACATGGGATATGGAATGTCAAGGCTATTCTTCGCTTTAAAAGGTTTTTATGTTTTCCTTGCATCACTTTTTTATATTTTGTGTTATTTTAAATATGTAAATATCTGCGCCAGCGATTTCACGTAGGTGAAATTTGAGCGTTTTCATACGCATGAGTATGGGAAAGTCCATAAACTCAACGCTAATCCCATCGATGGATTTCTCCAATCGTCTGAATCTAGGAACTATGAACAGCTAAATACACTGAGTCTAGAAATGACTTGATGCATTCCAGATTGCAACTTCTTAATAATTAAGGTTGCAAAAACCTTAAACAATATTTAAGGAAACACTTTAATTGAATAAATTGAATTGTTGTACTTCAAAAGAAAAAGAGACAGAAAATAAACTGAATATAAATATGTAAAGTAAATTAGGAAATAATAACAGTGTAATGAGGTTGTATCCAGCATACCCATCGACCACAAAAACTGATGGAATCCCTGTAGCATCAGCTTTTCCATCGCTCAATAATAAAAGCTCTCTAGATTTCATCTATGGTTTCCATCGATGAGCTAAGGATCGGTTTGATGTATTTCCGATGCCACCGATGAGCTCAATGCTAAGTTTAGGATATTTCCCTATATGACCAAGTGCATAAGTTTAACTGAATAGTGTTCGAAATATAAGTGAAAAACAAAAGTAGAAATCAAGAAAATGAAAAATGGATAAAACAAATATTAGCGTCTTAAGTTTGATTGCATTAAACTAGACATCTTCAAAGTACGTTCCGCAAGCACCTACAATCCATCCTGCGAAAGTCTGTTTGGTCACATTATAAAATTTTAAAAACTATTTAAAAATATGAATTTAGTAAATCACTCAAAGGTAGGTACAGCTTTTATTGCATAAGTTGGTTTTCTTAGAAAGCTCTTTTAATAACTGGAGCGTCATTTAAAGAGTTTTATTTTTTTTTTATATTTGTTAAATGGCTCGCGGGACTTAGCGGACAGTCAATTCTGTTTCAGGATCAACTCTGTCAAATTTCCTTATATTACGTTTTCATCGACCTGTAGGAAACAACAAAATCCATCCATTTTATAGTCTTGTATCTTTTTATTAATTTCTTTGTTAACCGTTCCAACTTCTTAGCATGTTAATCGCCTGGACCGCGATGCTGTTGCCTCAATCATATTATACGGATGTAGGTAACGCAATTCAGCAGAGTGTAGGATCCTAAATTTGCTGATTGACTCATACTTCTTTAGTACTAATAATTTCCTATATCATATTAACTTAATATTATATAGATCATTCGGATAATAATATATTAGATATCATTCTCAATTAAAAATTACAAATTAAATCGACTTGAAAAATTAAATGAAATTGAACCTCCAATGCAAGGAAACATAGAAATGAATTAGCTTGATTATAACAAGGTTTTAAAATTACTATAATTTGTTTGCAGTTAAATTTATTTAATTTCAAAACTATACTAACTCATACATACTATCTCATTCTTCAGTCTTTCCTTTTCGACAGATTTTTTTCTGTCTGACAGGGCTTAGAAATTTCCTCAATTCAACCAGTGTCGGCAGGAGTGCCTCAAGGATCAATATTGGCTCCTTTACTTTACATTATATATACGCATGACATGCCTACCACCTCCGAAACGTTGAATGCTACTTACGCTGACGATACAACAATTTTAACAAAACATCACCATCCCAGACTTGCCTCAATGAATTTACAAAATCATTTACTACAATTACAAAATTGGTATTCACTTTGGAAAATTATATTAAGTCATGACACATCACTACATGTAACATTTACGCTTCGACGAGACAAATGTCCATCTGTTCATTTCGGCGAAAACCAAATCCTTCAGACGGACACTGTACGTTATCTCGGGCTAATATTCGACAGAAGGATGACCTAGGGCCCACATGTTAAAATGAAACGAAAGACTTTAAACAAGCGACTGAAAATACTATACTCACTTTTTTCCAAATTAAAACTAAAAATCAGAAAAAAACTAAACACATACAATTACCTATTTAAACATCAGTTCATTGGTACGTAAACAACAAAACCTTACATACCGGCTTACGACAACCAACTATCGACCAACACATACGTACTCTCTACTCCCGATTTCCTCTTAAACTACATGGACATCACAACGGACTTATCAACGACATCAACTGGTCACAGCTGAAATGCCCATCAGGAGACGACTAAAGAGGAGTTGGATGAGAGATCTCCTTTCATGAAGTAAGAAAGTAAACCAAGACCAGGAAGAGGTGCTGCTGGGTACTATTCTTCCTCATGCCTAAAATGCCAATTTTCTTTACTTTAACATCATATCTGCTTATTGTCAAGACTATGACAGGTGTGGATAAAAATATGAAGTGAAAAAAAAATTCCTTTATAATAATTGACAATGAATCCACAATATAAATCACAAATTTAATAAAAAAAAATATTTATTTTAAATTAGCAGTCACAATATATGTTAAAAAGCGTTATTATTTGCCATAAAATCAATTATTTCCGCATGTCCTGGTTGTCACACGTTTGATTAAAAATGTTATGTAAAAAACAAAACAGATACTGAGAAGACAAGTGAATAATAAGAATTTTATCTCATATTTAGCTAAAAGAATAAAAGATTGATAGCAATGAAAAAAAGTAATAAAGAAATAAAAAATAAGAGATAAAAACAGTCGTAAATGAAGTAATTAAGGGAACTGCTTGTAGACGTGTTTGAGCGTTCGAGTTGAACAAAAGAAAGAATGAGAGAAAAAAAAACTGCAAGTTCACCTTGGCTAAGCCGAAGCAAAGAAACTATTCGCTGTCTTGAGGCTTCGGCCTGTCGGGATAATGACAGTATATGAGCTTGAGAAATGATACGGCGGTCTCTCGCTGTTCGTCTATAACATTGAAGCTGTGTATAAGAGAATCAAAGCTGGAAGGACGTCTTAAGAACAAGAAGCCGGTGACAGAATGACATCTTATAGAGTTAGCTGTAATATTGGTTTGAATATAATTTTAAATGGGTAGCGATGTATGTTGTAACCTATTTTGAGTACTATTTAATGTAAAATAAATTAATCGAAATTTATCGGAATATAGTGGACCCTCGTTCATCTGAACTAATTAAAAGTAAGGGAGTTCGGATATGCGAAAAATTCGGATTACGGAACGGAGAAAAAATTATAAATGCATTTTCTTAATAATATTTTTATAAGAAACAATCATTGTTCAGACATTTATTTTTAAACCATTTTCTTGAAGACCTTTGACCGCATATTTTAACAAAAATAATATCGTAAACCACAGGCGGATATACGGGGAGCAATTTTTGGGGTGAGGTGTTCCCTCAAAAGATAGTAAAATATTACCATATCTTATGAAAAAAAATTATTAAAAAATAATCTCTAAAAATATTATTAAAGGAAGGAGATGGACCGGGGTGGTGGTCATAAATAGGCTAAATCGTGGCAAAATTATTTTATTAAAAGCCAAAGTTTTCCACCCGACTTTGCAGGTCTTCTTCAGAGCTATAACGGACAAGATACAAAAAGATAGAGAATTGTGGAAGTTACATAATATTTAAACAAAAAATTATAAACAATGTGAATAAGCTTATTAAAATTATAAGTACTTAAACAGTAAGTACATTAAAATATAAACAGAGTAAGCTAAGTAACAAAATCCTAAACTGAAGTAAATAGATGGTAACAATTGTTGTAGTGTAATATATAATATATGCAAATGTGATGATGTGTGATGCACTATTTAGCCTATTTATGACCGCCACCCCGGACCATCTCCTTCCTTTATAATGCAACGGTCAACTATTAAATATTCAATATAAAAGTATTATGATTCGTGTAATTACATTTCATAGGACTTCAAGAATCATTTAAACGCCATTCGTATAGGTACTTGGTTTCTTTCTTTTTCTTCCAAAGTAATTTTCGTTATATTTAAAAAAAAAAAAAAGCTTTCGTGCTGAAGCCCTCCCAAAATGAAATCCTGGATCCGCTAGTGGCGTAAACTACCATTGTGTTAGAAATACAATTTCGCGTTGAAGAATAATTTAATTAAAATGTTGATCATAATCGCATAGAGCGAATTAGAATTGAAAAAGATTTATCAACCTGTCCCAATTGAGTTAGGCCCACGCGATTCACAGATTTTGTCTGCTGTTCATTATTCAAAGTATTATACAAAAATTTAAATGTACAGTTAGCTCATATACAACAGTTCGACGTTGTTTTCAGAACATCAGTAATTGTTAATAGAGTGAGTAATAAATTTAAGTTCTTTGAAAAGTTTTGACACCTTTGGAAACTTATTCAGAACACTAAAGCCCTCCCCCATTCACCTAAGTATTATACCCACAAATACTAAGCTCCAAACTTCTACCGGATGTATAAAATGAAAATGCCAACCTAAGAGTTCCAACCCCTCCTCTACTCCCCTCAAACATGTTACTATTAAAATTTAGTTTGTAATCGTTAAGAATCTTTCCAGATACGTCAGAACATTTTGCACAAGCGAGATCTCTGTGAAAGTGTAATAAATCCTTAATAAAGGGAACGAGTGGTAAGAAGGACCGAGGAAAGAACGAGTTAAAAACAAAGCACTTCAACTATTATCGATGTTGCCTAATCGAAATGACGGCGAAGACAGATGACAAAGCCAGAGGTAGGCTGAGGTCATCGCTTAAGCCGCTTGTTCCCAATATGGCTACAAGGTATTTTGCGGATGCAGATAAGCCTGACCCATTTTCATCCATTTCCATTTCGATTGTTTAAAAGAAAAGTTGGGACTTTAATTCACGTATTTTTTTTTTTTTTTTTTTAATTTGTGACACATTTTCCGTAACCGATACATCACTTGGTTCATTTGACATGAAGTACACGCCTCGAAATTCGAAAATTGCTAGTAATCCATAATCGCAAATGTCATAAAACAGTTTTGTGAGCTCTCATTTGAATCTTGCCTTATGAAACTGCAGACACGTCAGAAAATATAATTAATGAAATTACATTTCTTCATCTATGCTAGAAGTGAATAATATTTTATTTTCTGTGCAAATGGTTTAAAACTACAGACTAACGGATGTCTTTTATAAATGTTGATGACCTCGAGTCGGATGGACCTGTTGAAAGAGGGCCGAAGACACAGTCAGATAGTGGTCGTACAGAGAGGAAAGGACAGTGACCTTTGGCTTGTTAAAGAGAGAAAAACCACCGCCGCGGCTCTCAAATCTACTCCAGTCTCAGCTAGCTCAAGGGTGTGTGTGTGTGTGTGTGCGTGTGTGTCGAGGTCGTGTTCGCTCTTGAGAATCGATTGCCCAGCGAAGGCCACTGTATACCTTGGTTTTACGTTCCGTATCGCTGGAATAAGAAGGTGCAGGACGTACGGAAATCCAACTTATCAAATCACGCAAAAAAGTGTTTAAAATTATTTTTATTTGGTAATGATAACAAAATTGATAAGCATTTAAAATAGAGCCCGAAGCTAAATATTTGGTTGGTCATTGGCGCTAGTTCGATAGTAGAAATATAACTGGTAGATATCGATAACTTCTTCCGCTTGATAGTTAAGAGAAAACAAATTTTCACATTAAACAGGTTTGTTTAGTATTTTAAAATACTAATGATACAATGAAAATGTCTTTAAGAGATTAAATAAATATAAAGTTCACATTTAAAAACATTAAATAAAATATTTTTTTTTATGTCTCTAAATTGTATAGAAATATGGAATTTAAAACGTCTGCCAAGTAATGTCAGTATAGCTTCCTCACGGTTTTCATTAGCTAAAATATTAAAATATTACAAGGTGTACCATTTTTCGCACGAGAATAAAATCTCTGGAGAAGCCGATTCGGAAATACAGTTATCCCTCAACATTCGCGGGTTTGATATCCACGAATTTCGTTTATCAGGTAATATTAAAATGCGAAAGAGTGCCGAATTTGAAGGTTCAATAATTGATTATCCTTAATTAAAAAAACCAAAAAATGCATACTGAACATGCATTTCACCATTCTTAGTGCAAAAGGTCGTATGTAAAAATAATTAGTTATATTTAATTTGTCTGATCTCAATCAATGGAGGGAGAAGGGGCCAGTAATAGGATATAGTGAAACTTTTTTTGGCGAAAATTCTTAATATCGGACAATTTAACAAAAGCCATACAATTTTAAATAATTTAATAGTTCTGTGATCTTCACCATACCGAACGCTCTCTGTAATAACACAGACATGCTTGATTTGAGTATTTTGATTAATAATTTTTTTCCTAGCCGAGAGCAAGAAAGCAATTCTCATTTTCTGAGAACATCAATTCCGCTGATAGCATATTCTTCAATTATATGTATACTGGGAATTCGTTTAGCGAGGAAAATAGGTTTAATCATTCATTGTTAGTTCTTCTGCAGAATTGATTGATAGAATGCAAATCCATGTCTATTTAAGAAAAGTACGAGTATAATACGTAGAATTCGCGAATTATCCATTCATTGAGAAACATAACTACACTTTTAAACGCTCCTCCTCTCAGTGGTTTTAGTAACATGTCAACGCGGCTAAACAGGAATTGATTTTGGACAAAATTTTTTCTTAAGCACTTGTTAAACTTCATTAAGATTTGAATATAGGTATGCATGTGTTTTTTTGCTTAGTTTTAATTTTCTTATTTTTATGTTATTTTATTTTATTTATTGTATATACTTTTTGATTATTATTATTTATTGTTATTTTGCTTCTATTTATTTTATATTTTTTGTACATACAGTGTGAATGTTATCCTACCTCACTACAACTAATTTCCAAGAGACAGATTGTTGTAATACTGAATAAATAAATAAATAAATAAAGAATTATTTTACGCTCGATTATTGTACTCGCTTCTTGAGCAAATAAAATAATGGATTAGTATGAGTTCAGGGTTAGCTGTGACTTATTGCTCCATGACTAAACTGAAAGGATATTTTAAAGTGGGACAAGCTAACCTTTTTTTAAAAAGTTCCATTTAAACAGTTGCTGTAACACGTTCTAGGAAAGACTTTTTTTGTAATAAAGTTCCATGTTTACGGTAAAAGCTTGTGAATTTATTCAAGTGTCTAAAAAATTGTTTGTTAAATGAAAAATTAAGGGTAATTGTGCTTAGATTAGAGTTATAATTTGTCTTAAATGAATTTCACATGATTCTAATGTATCGTTTTTTTGAGTTGCTAAAAAGTCATTTCTCAGATCGTCCTTTTAGCAAAATCGACATAACTTTTAAATAAATGTTCTGGAAAACGTTTACTTCCGATTAGTTACGAGAGAAAAAGTTCTAGTTCCAAAAGAATTGAATAAAAGTTCCCCTGATCCGGAAACTATTAAAAAAAAAAATTTTTTTTTAAGTTTCAAGCTCTGGTACATACAAATAAGTTATCCTGATGGTCCTTATACGTCGAATACATAATAAAACGAATACATAATAATGGAAACATGATGATTTGGGTGTCCGAGTTCACAATCTAATTCATATCTCAATTTAAAAAAAAAAATGATTTTTTCTTATCTCTGATATAAATTTTAAAAGCGTTTATAAAAATTTTATTAAGGTATATTTTCCCTAACTCTGGAATAATTAGATTCTCTCAGCTAATAACACAATCTAGATGGCACCGGCTTCCAAGTTGGGACTCAGGTGGGAAACTCATCGCCTTAAAAGCTAAGTGCTATTCCACTCAGAGGAGAGTACAATTAGACATTTACAGTAGCTACACAATATATAAGGGGATACATAATACATAACAATAAAGGTTAGATAGTTTGGAGTCATTAGCCATACTGAAGCGGAACCATACTTTCGCCAAGCGACTGTGACCTTTCGAACTGCATCCACCTCTCTCGCCTTTCTAGTCCAATGGTTCCACTCTCAAATACTCCCCGGCTAACGGTACTATTACTTTCAAAGTATCGATTAGTGTACGACGTACAAGAAATGATCGATTTATGATACGATACGATCACAAGCAAGATTACGAAGACATCATCGAGAAATCCTATTGTATTCAATCAAGCTTCAATTGTTTTAATATTATCGTAATCATCATGAATTTGTTTTGTAACTAGTTCGTCCCTGTTGCCCACATCAATTATTAACAAAATTTATATATTTCTTCCTTGGCCATTTGTCAAATTTAACAGAATAAATACCAGTAATTTATTGTTTTATTTTTAATTAGCATTTTATTATAGGTGAAAATTAACGTACGAATAAAAATGATAATGAAAACAATATAAATTACAAATGTTGATTTTGTTAAATTAGAGCAATATATAGCAATATACAAGGAATCAGAATAGAATAATTAATGAAAAAAGGCCTAATCTATAACCTATAACCTAAAAAAATGTATATAAATAAAGAAAAGACAACTACAGAACCAGGCAAATATGTCAATTATCTTAGCGAAAATAATGAATGCAATTTGATAAAATTCATATCTCTACTGTTAGTGCAAAAGGTCATATGCAAGAGTTGAGTTTTTTTACAGAAGAGCATGAAAACTGATTATTTCTTTATGATTTATTTGTATAATTTCATATTTTATTTCATTCTGCTATTTTCCATAGCATCAGACTACTTATTGAAGTTACAGACTACAGTCGCCATTAGTACAAATAGAATAAATATGTAAAATTGTTACATACGACCTTTTGCACTAACAACAGCGCTATGGGATCATCTGTATTTTCATCGCATGGACTATAAGCAGAAAATACATAATCAAATTGTTGCTTCATGTATAAAACTAATCGAAAATCTCCACTCTCCTTTCGCGACGGGAAATTATTTGTTTGTTTTCAATTTCCAAGTGAGTACAAACCTTTCTTAACTTCAGTAGTGAGGTAACAAAAATTAAATTTTCTTAGGTAAGTATTCAACTACAAATAAAAAATCCGAACTGTGTCTACAGGGAAAATAAGTTTTAAAAAAATGCTGGAAGTAGAATACAAAAAATCATAGTTAATTTAGGTACGCAATAAAAGAAAAATATAACAGTAACTACAGTTACTTAAGTTAAACTTAAATTTTTCTCAAGGTATTGGTCTATAAATTATGGGAAGAAATTTCGCATTTACCTTGCATTCTCTTACTTTGTAGAAAACTATCTAATTTTATAGCAGAAGGACTTCAATATTGTTATAGTCCGTGGAACAGACCCTTTTTATCGAATTATTAACATCCGCCTGAAACATCGTAAATAGTTGCATCTCATCGTAATCTACAAATATTTTATTTACGAATATCTTGAAATTGGGGTGTTCTCAATCTGAAGGAGGGCTAATTTTGTATATTTAATTAGGTACTAAAAACTCATAAATACCCATTTGCATTCTATTTGGATCGTAAGATAATTTGATAACATAATCGATAAAAAAGGCGATCTACAAAAATATTGGCCCGTTTGCCCTATATAACCTCGTTATTTTGAAATTTTGGGGGTCTAGGTCACGTCAACGGTTCAATATTTTTGAAGGCCGCCTTTTTTCTCGATTTCTTAATCAAATTATCTTACGATACAAGTAGAAAGCAAACGGGTATTTACGAGTGTTAAGTGCCTAATTAAATAGACAAAGTTTGCCCCTCTCCAGATCGAAAACCAATTCCAAGAGTTTTCGTAAATAAAATGGTTGTAGGTTACGATGAGATGAAACTATTTACTAAGTTTCTGGGGTTGTTAATAATTCGATAAAAAGGGGTCTGTATCACGGACTATTAAGGCCAGTAATAAAAATAATAAACGGCAAAACACCAAAGGCAAAAACAACCATAGATTAATGTTAAGTTAAGCTAACATAGGCTACACGATATTTGGTTAATCCAAGACTAAAAGGGAAAAGAAATAACTGTTATCGTATTTAAAGGACGATGAACTAGTTCCTTCTTACCTTAAATACTCTTTAACCAAAAGTGAAAAAATAAACAAATTAGTTAAAGATTTTTTTTTTCATTGTTATTTACAACTGTATTATAAAATAAAATACAACTGGTAAACGTGCACTCGGGAATATAATAACATGAAATCGCTTGTTGAGAAACTACCCACTGATAGCACTCTAATAATAAATTTACACAAGAAGATCGCGAGGCCACCTTCTTTTCAGACGCCTCGGAGGAAGTACGGTTTGAAACGAGAAGGTTCGGATGGTTCTGCAGTTTAATTAAAGATTAAAGTATGATTAATCTAGGACTGTGCCTAAATGCTGTGCAGCTTAAGTTAATTAAATAAGATCTCGATAATTCCATCGATTTCTGTTATTTCATTAAATGACATATTTTGAAAAGTATAAAATTAAACCTCAAAGAAGGCGCTGTTATCATCAATTTGTTATCAGTACTCCAAAGATAAGAGGGATTCACCTGTTTTCGCAAACGTTCAAAGAGCCTTCGACT